GACACCCCAGTAGCAATGAACGCACCCCGTACCAGACCTTGGTTCTCAACACCGTTCTCCACTGAAAGGAACCAGAGGTCCTTGGAGAAATGGAGGATTCTAGGTTGGGAAAGGCAAAGGTGGCCTCCCACTTCCTGTCGTTGAAAGCCTGGCCACGTGCTGTTGCCATTTGTCCAGGGGAAATGTGGTTGCTGAGGGGCTGCTTGGTGTGGATGTGAGTGCTGAGAGGGAAGGCACTGTACCTTCCAGTCCCGCTGCTGCCAGCATCTGTTCCAGATGCTCAATACATGTGTGATAAAAGGATGGAAATGAGGTGTCTGCAGGGCAGCCGGGAGCTGTCTCAGAGTCACATCACCAAGATGTGGCCTAAGACTCCTGAGAGAGTTTCTAGGAGTGAAGCCCAGAAGTGAAATGAAGCGGGACAAGCTGCCCTACGGGAGTGATGTCAAGCCAGAAAGGGTCTGAGGGAAGCCTTGGAGCCCCTAACACTAAGAGGTGGGCATGGTGGGGAAGAACCAGCAAAGGAACCGGAGAAGGCGTGAGCAATGAAGTGGGAGAAAAAGCAGGCAAGTGAGGGCAGAAGAGGACAAGAGATGAAGAACTCCAGAGGCACTTGGTCACTCCAAGAGGGCTGTGTGGACAGGGGAGGCCATTCAGGCTGCACCCTGGAGGGGGCTGGGGGTTATTGCCTCTCCTGCAGGCTTTTCGAGGCCCAGATACTTGAGGCTAGCCACAGCTGTCGCATCTGCTCCTGGTGGGGCCCTGCCTGGCTGAGCATCGGTCCTGTGGGACCTACTGGAGTTGGTATGGCCCAGTTTCACCCAGGCTGTATACAAAACCTGCAAGATGCCAGTAAATTGTGGGCACAGCTCATCTGTCACCTAGGCAATTCCAACTCAACGATCCCCACCCCAAAGGAAACCCTGCTCTCGGTGGAGTCCACCCCTCCCCCTCTGCCCCTGGGAAGTGACAGCAGAAGCATCTTGTTCCAGGTGCCAGACCGTTTCTGAGAGCTGGGCCCTTCACTCATCTTGCTGTCTCCCAGTGGCACTATGATTACAGTGGGCACTGCAAGCCACACCATATCCCTGGGGAACTGTCTCGAGGCCCCTCCACAAGGGACAGACAGTGGCCAGGGGACAGGAGGTAATGGGTGGGTCGGCATCCACCTCCGAGGCAGACACTGGGCTCAAGAAGTGCAGTGCCTGAGGGAACCATTCCAGCCGCCGTTGAAGGGTCTCAGCACCTGGGGCCTGCTGGTGCCTCTGGGCCACCCCCAGCATCCAAGGGCAAAGGCAGGGTCATCCCGTGCCCATTCCATCTTCACAGGAGTGCCCAGTTTCCTTTCCTCCTGGGCCCCTTCCTGCCTAGGCCCTCACATCTCTCACCCTGCAGCATTTCCCCCTCTCCTGTCTTCTGTCCCCTGGCCTGGCCTGCCCATCCCTGTCCTGCCTTAGCAGGCAAGCTTCTGGCAGTAGGGGTCCCCAGTCACTGCCACGGCCTCTCCCCCTCCCCACCTCATAGCAGCTTCTTGCCCCACATTACCAATGACCTTCTTGTCACCAGCACCAGGGGAGGCTCTGTCCTGCCCTCACTTTGCTTCTGGGCAGCACTAGACAATCCCCGCCCTCCTGGAGGGGCTTCTTGGCTTCTGACACAAGCTCTCCCTGTCGCCTTGTGCTGGGGATGCTCCTTGGCCTCTACAGTGTCTGCAGCTGGTAAAGTTGCTTAAGGCCCAGCCCTCTCCTCTCTTTTCATGAAGCCATCTTATCTGTCCTTACAGCTTCTGGGACGTCACGTCCACAGGTAACTCCTGAACCTCACAGAAGGCTGCTGAATCAGCGTGGGCCTAGCTCACAGTCAGTTTGGCCAGTGAGGTTCCTACCACACACTCTGAAGACCCCACTCCATGTCCAGAGTCCCTGACCCCCGTGTCCAGCTGCTCAGCAGATGGCTCCCTGCCATCAGATGGCTTTGTCACTCCCAAGTCAGGAGGCACCGGCACGAGGGACTCAACCATCTATCTCTAGGGTCTGTCCAAAAGGCATATCTGTCCATGTCACTCCCCTGCACTGGGCCAGTCAGCCCTCCCTGAGGACCTGGCTTTTGTTGAGAATCTGCCTCTCCCTCCCACAGCCCATCCCAGCCCCGGCCAAATGATGGAGGCACTGCCGGTTCTGACCAGTGAAAGGACAGCATTTATTTGCTGGGTGCATCTGAGAAAGAAGCTACACTATGGGGCGTGAAGGTGCTCCTTGCTGGCTGGGATCGAGGGATTTGGTGGAGGCTGCAGGCAACCATCTTCTGATCCTGAGGCGGAGGCCTGGGATGAAGCAGACGCTGCAGAGTGCAGAGGGAGGTAGGAAGAAACTGGGTATTTGGTGAAATTGTTTATCTGCTGCCAACACCCCTGGACTTCTCAGTTTTGTAAACTGACATGTTTCCTTTCTTGTTTAAACCAATTGCCATTATGGTTAAATCAAGGATTGGAAACCAAAAGCAGCCCAGCTAATACAGTTCCTTTCAGGTCAAAGTCAAAGCCTCACATTCACCTTTAGCGGGACTGAAAATTTCAATGTAAGTTTCCTGACTGGAAATGAATGAGAGTGCATGCAGGTAGGTCTATTGAGTGAGCTGCCAGAGCCCACAGGCTCCTAAGGGGCCCTGCGGTTGGACATTCCCAGCTCTCGGGTGGGGCCAGGGGCTTCCATCTGCCCTTCAAAGCCTTTGCCCATCAGGCTTCGGTCCATCTTCCCAGTCCAGGGACACAGCGTTTACCCCACGAGCCCCAGGCATGAGCACAGCTTCCTTCAAGCCTCAACCGACCCTGGGTACCCTCTTCCAAGGAGTAGGTGCTTAGATGGTCTCTAGTGCCCACCTGCCAGGCAGGGTGAGAGGACCAGTGGCACCAGCCCGTGTTCCTGCCCCTTCCCTGGCACGCTGAGGTCCCCTGGTCCCCTCTCAGGCAGCGACTGGCATGCCAGGGAAAGTTCCTGTACACATGAGTGGAGGCAGGGCCATCTCCGAGCTGTAGGGGAGCGCAGGGTGTGGGTGCCTGGCGGAGGCCTAGCTCTGGCACCGCCTTGCTGAAATAACCTGGAGCCAGTCACGTGTCACCCCTAAGGGTCGAGACCTGCCTGTGTCCAGGAGAAGATAAGCAGGAGTGGCCAGAGAAAAGCTGTGACATTAAGGGCCAGGACACCCCAATTCTGGGCCACGCTTGGCCATCGCTCAGCTTCTGGCCTTAGCGTGTTTATGGGACACAAGGGGGAGGATCGCTGCAGACTCCTTCCCCGGGGGGAGGGATAAAGGAAACTGACTGAGGTTTAAGGAGTGGCCCTCACTGTGCAGAGTCAACGGCTGGGGATCAACACAGCACAGGGACTTGCCTAAGGCCACACCACAGAGCTGGGTGACGTCTCAGACTCCCCCACCTGCTTTTCCTTCGTCGGGTGCACACTGGTTGCAGTAGCTGAGGGGACCCCGTGGCTGGCTGTCACTTAGCCTCCTGCCCATGCTGGACCTGCCAGAGGTCAGGTGACAGGAGGGGCAGCAGGGGCCAGTTGCTTCCCCTTTCAGGCCTGGAAAAGTAGTGCTCAAGGGAGGGTTTCTTCTCAGTGGGCTAAATGGGAAAAGCCATGCCCATCCCTCAGAACCCTTCCAAACAGCCCCTTACTCCTGCTCCCCCTGAGGCACTTCTAGAAGCTGGCTGCACTTAGATTCTGGCTCCCCCACTTCACCGCTAGGGGCCTCGGCTGTCTCACCTTTTGTGCAAAGTGTGGGCGCAAACCCAGGTCAAGTGATTTGAGCGGTGCCTGGCACCTAACAAGAGCTGGGTCCGGGTACCAGGGTACCCACCAGCTATTATTATTATGAGCCAAATTGCAACATGAGAACACATTTAATGCTACATGCAGCTTGTGGCCTGGCCAGGCTCCTCCCCACACTCCGAGAATCCTACTTGGAGAACCCCTTCTCCATAGCTGCTGTCACTTCGGGGTGTAGAAAGCGGCCAGCCAAGCGTTCGATGTCATCCAGTGTCAGGCGGCTCAGGGACCTCTCATAATCCTGAGGAGAGAAGGCCAGAAGGATTTAGGGGTGTGAGTAGGGGGTCCACGGTGAGAGGCAGGGGCCAAGAGCAGCTGGGCCGGAAGTGTTAGTCCCGGGCCACCCTTCTCACCCTCTGTAGTTGGTCCAGGACTCTGCTGGCATCTGCAGCACTGAAGTGGCGGGCCAAGACTTTGGAGATGAGCTGCCAGGCGGCCGGGGTTGGGGGCGGGGCCTCGGCCAGTCTCCGGGCGGTGCTTTCTTCCAGTAACACCTTCTCCAGAGGTTTGACCACTAGGTTGAGCTTGGAATTGGGCCCAATGCTGTAATCGGAGAGTCTTTTCCCATCTGCCCAAGGGAGATTGACGGCGTTGTGGCCCACAGCGGTGGGAATGACCTCCAGGAGCCCAGGCCGAGCGCTGCAGCATCTGGCTGAGGATGCCGGCTCCCCGGGGGTCAAGTGGCCAGAGCCCCATCCACTACACTGCTGCCCAGGCTCGGCCTGGACGCCCCGTCCCTGACTTCCTACGTGGCTCCCCGGGCGTCTCCTCTCCCCAGTTACCTGCCAGGGCCTTGCCCTTGAACAGCAGCCGCTGCTGGCGCACGGGGACGTTCAGCTTCTCGGACACTAGATGTTTCAGCGTGGACACCAGCTCGTCCTCCGACACCTGGCCAGGCCGAGGAGGGGGAGGCAGAGGTTGAGCCGGCAGGGGGCAGCTCTCCCGGCCTCCCTGGCGCGGCCCGCCCCGTCCCCGCCCTTGGCCCGGCCGGGCGCCCGGGGCCCGACTATGCGAGCCGGCCCGGAGGCGGGGGCCTGGCGACGCTACCTGCAGGCTGCACTCGCGGCCCTGGAGCGCCTTCACCGTCAGCTGCATGGCGGCCACGGCGGCGTCCACTCCGGCCGGCGCGCACCCTAACCGCCCCCCGCCGCGCGCCGCCGCCCCGGGCGCGCGCCGGAACCGCCCGCCGCCGCCGGAAGCCGCTAGAGGGGCGCGCCCGGCGCCGCCGCCCCGCCCCGCCCCTTCCCCCTGCCCCCGAGGAGTGCCCTCGGCCGCGCGCCTCGCGGACGCGAGGGGTCCGTCCCGGCTGCAGCTCCCCGCGGCGGCGGTGCCGGGAAGCCCTCCCGGATGGGGCGGAGGAACCAGACGCTGGGAGCTGGGACTCGCGAAGAGGGCGGGCCTGGGTGCTGGCGGAGCAGGTCAGCGCCGACGCCGATTCCCTGTCTGAGTCTGTGACTCCAGGGAGTCCACAGATGGCCCAGCCCTGCGAAGCTTGTCCCACTGCCCGCGGGCTTCCTACCGCCTCCTTTCTGGTCGACCTGCAGAAAAGCAGCTCAGCTTGGGAGCGGGCAGGGGAGCCAGGCCTCTGCTCTTACCAGCCCACCGTTCATTCTAGAGCAGAGGCCCAGCTCTTAGAGAGGGGAAGGAGGGCTGCGAGAGGAAGTCTGCGCAGGGGTCACCGTGTCACCCAAGCAAGTCCTCCACCCTGGCCCACCCACACCCTTCCTTCCCCCACCCGCCTGCCTCAAAGGGCAAAGACTGGAAGGGACTCAAGCTTGCTTCTCTCTTTTATTGAAATATATTTTCTGGGCAGTGCCCACCTACGTAACTCAGCATGGCCTCTTTGGCACTGAAAGCTGGAGAATAAAAAACCGGTAAAAAAAATAAGCCTGGATTTTTCTGAGTGCATAGTGCATGAGAACTAAAGGCCTTTGGTACACAAGAACTGTGGGGACAGTGAGCAGAGGCTGGGGGCTGGGGCTGGCGAAAGCTTGACCCGGGGGCCTCAGGGGAGTGCGCAGACACTGCTGTAGATGAAGTGGCCAATAACTAAGGCCAGCATCTCCGAGGTACCACTCAGTGCCACAATGAAGGGGGCCTGGGAGGCGTAGTCGGCTTGAAGGCGGCGGAGGGATAGCTGCAGCATGGCCAAGGCCAGCAGGCTGTTCTGCACCCCTACCTCAATGCTGACTGTCCGCCGCTGGGCCACTGGCAGCTTCAGGCATGTGGCTAGGCAGTAGCCCACCAGGAGGCCAACCAGGGGCACCGTGAGGCCCACCAGCACAATGGGCAGCCTGATGCCCGCCAGGATGAAGACCCCCATGCGGTAGGCCAGGAAGAGGCCGCCCAGGAGCAGCACGAAGCTGAAGGGCTTGATGACCTGTAGCAGCAGCTGGGAGAATTTGGGGAGCTTGGACTTGATCACCACGCCTGCTGCTATGGGGATGGCGATGAACAGCAGGGTCCCCAGGATCTTGGAAATGGGCACGTGGAGTGTTTCGTGGATGCTGAGCAGGCGGCTGTAGATGGCTGAGGACAGTGGCAGGAAACCAGTCGCGGCCACCGTTGAGATGAAAGTCATGGAAATGGCCAGGGTGACATCCCCTCCGAGGAGGAGGCTGAAGAGGTAGCTCCCCCCGCCGCCAGGCGACGAGCAAGTGATGATGAGGCCCAGAGCCAGGGCATTGGGCAGCATGAAGACCTTGGCCATCAGAAAAGCATAGAAGGGCATGACCAGAAACTGGCCCAGGAGGCCTAGCAGCATGGGCTGTGGGCTCTGCAGGAGCCCCTTCAGAACCTCCAGCTCCACTTTACACCCAAATGAACACTTATTGACAAAGATAAGAGGCAGGAGCAAGTAGAGTATCGGGTTCTCTGAGAAGTGGACCAGGTCAGTGCCCAGGGTGGCGGGGGTGTCTTCCGCAGGTGAGACCTTGATGCAGAAATCTCTCCGCTCCTCAATCAGGGTGGGCGGGACCTCCCGGGGGTCCACAAGCTGGATGTGGAGTGGGGCTAGCCCAGGCAGCCCTGAGTGGATGCTCACCACGAAGCTGCCCCCACTGCCCCAGGTTATGGCACTCACATTTCTGATGCTCAGCACCTCTGTGTCCAGGGAGGTGACCCTCAGCATGGGGCCAGGCCCGGTCCCGTGGCCCTGGCCTGGGTACTTGCTTGAAATTACGATGATGCCCTCACTCTCCTCCGGGAACTCAAACTCCATCACGGAGCCATCCCCAATGCTCAAGTAGCGGCCCCTGGGCAGGGGCACGGTGTGGCCCAGAGCGGTGCTGAGGTTGGCACTGGCTGTTCCCCGGGCTTCCCACAGCAGGCTGACAAGCAGCAGGGTGGCCCTGAGCACACCTAAGGGGCCTGTGCAACCACCACCCCTTCCCCGGCCAGGCCACCGTGGGTAGCTGGCCCTGCCCCTCCTAAATACCATGGCTCCTCCAGGACGGTGAGCCCAGGCCCCCTGCGGCTTAGGAGAGCAGCCCTGCTGGTGCTGTTGAGTGGTCCTGAGGAGGGTCCATGGGCGGGGCCTGGCTCTGTGTTGCCTCTCTTGATGGCAGAGCTCTTCCTGAGGAGAAGGGACACAGAGAGGTGGCTGGTGAGGGCCTGCAGCTGTGAGCCCAGGAGCATGGGGATCTGGAAGCCCAGTGCTTGGAGACTCAGCCTGGGGATGGAAAGGGAATGCCTAGTGCTAGCTCTTGAGTGCCATTTGGCTGTCCCCTCCCCAATCACCACAGCCTCAGCTTACCATCCCTCACCCAGAGGGGCCACCTACAGATAGGAGTTCTCGTTCAGCCTGCGGATAGATACCTGCTGGTTTCCCTGGGGTTGCCCAGCATGGTGACCATTCAGAGATGTCCTGATACCAAGGGATTTGGGAGTGCCACCCCCAATCCTGTTACCACGAGCCTGTTCCCCACCAGCTCTGAGATGCAGCTACCACAGGGCTGCAGCAATACCACAACCAGGAAGAAATCCTTGATGACCCAGGATAACAAGGAAACAAGCCTGATGAGAGCAAAGCGTGCTGATGGGAAACACTGGCTTGGGTCAAGTCTGAGAGGCCATCAGAGAGCAGGTTGGGGCATTTGAGTGTCATCTGCCAGGCAGAGAGCAGCTGGTAAAGTGGTGTGGGCAGTGGGTGGCCAGGCGCCAGGGGCTGATGTCCACCAACATGGAGTTGTGAATGGTAATGTCGTTCGTGGCTATCTGGCCCACCCTACCTGCTGATAGTGGTGAGATGGGGGTTCTGGGAGGGACCAGATCCCCTCTCCCCTGGGAAGTTGTCAGAAGGGGCAGCAAGAAGGGATCAGGTATGGCCACATGTCCCCTGGGGGGACTCTCCCCCTTCTGTCAGAGCTCCCACCCCTCTGGCAGAAGGAGGAGTCCCAGAATTTGAGCTCCTAGAGCTGCTGTGCCACATCTGAGAGGCTCTGCTCAGAGTCCAGGGTCTCCTTCCCAATGCCCATATGCACCCCTACCAGAGCCTAGAACTACCAGTGAGACTATGAGTGTTTCTAGGGGGGCAGGGTGCCTCACGGGGAAAGGAGGAGGTTTGTCTCCTTCCACTTCTCAATGTAGGCAGCCAGCACCCTATTGTCACATCACCTGCAGGAACTGGGGCAGCCAGGGTGGGGACACAGTGGGTTTTCATCACTACTGATTGACTCATGCCTTGCATTATCCCAGTCCTGGAAGAGACTCCTGCTTCTCTAGATCCTATCAGTGTTTGGCCCTGACCCCACCCCTCATCTGAGACTGGGAAGCAGAGGCAAGGAGGTGGTGGAGGGCCCGGTAAGCAAAAGGCTCATCCTGGGAAAGTCCCCTTCCACCCCCTTGGGATGCCATGGCCTCTCCTGGTTTGGAGTTCGGGTCACTTACCCTGGATGCCATGATCCAGCCTTGTGCCCACCGCTGAAGAGGGAGGCGGGAAAACCAGAGGGAGTAAGAGAACTAAAGTGGAGGGGAGTCGCAGGGAAAAGACGAAGGCACCCGGAACTGAAACCACCGCGGTGGTGCGAACCCGTTCAGAAGGGAGAGGGGGCTAAGGGCCATCCACCCTGTCCTTCTAGTACTGCTGGTGGCTTTGAGTCACTGAGTCACTGCGTGAGGGGTCTGGCCCAGATGCTCACCATTTTTGCCTGAGGTGCCGGAAGTTTGAGCAGATGCACCCCAAGGGAAGGGAAGGAACACCGGGCCGGCCTCTTTTTCCGCACTGGCCGAGTGTGCGGTGTCAGGTCAGTTGGCAGTGCTGACCCGGGGCTCCTCCCTTACCTGGGAGTCCGGAAGTTGTCGGATCAGGCACGATCAGAGCTCGGGCGTGAATCGGGAAGGGAGAACGAGGAGCGCGCCGCCGCCAGGTTTGCGCTGCCGCCCCAAAACCCGCAGGCCGGCGAC